GTGGAGGGGGTGAAGGGAGGGCTAGGAATGGGGAAAAAATAAGAACCAAGATGCATTATGTAAAGGCACAATTCCCAGTGAGAAATGTAATTGTGTTGTATACCTAAAATGTACCAATAAAAGAATTTAACAAAAAAAAAAGAAAAAAAAGAAATTGGGCTCAGTTGTCACTGGCTAGCTCTGCCCTTGCTTCAGTGGGAAGGGAATTAAAATTGAAGTGGTCAACATGAATTTACAGGCAAAAGTTTTAGTAGGAAAGTACAAGAAAATGAAGGGGGAAGGCATGGTCCTAACAAAGATTTCCCTTACAAAGGAAAATAAGAGAAAATAAGGAAGGGCTTCAGTTTGAGAAACAGAAAAGGCCACAGGTCTGAAAAGGTCAGACGGGCCTGCCAAGAAAAGCACAGGGGCCAGTCTTATGGAATGCTGTGGTGGCCTGTTTCATCATTATCTCAGTCCTAGTTTCACAGTTCTGGGAGAATTCTTATGGCTTGAGGGGCATTTCAGTACCCATGAGATGACTGTTCCTGCTTGGTGGGGGAAGCCTCATTTCTCATCATGGAGCAATTGTTCCTGCTTGGGGATGACCTCACTGCAGGGAGGTCTGCAAGACAGCTTTTCCTGGAGTCCAGGATGATGGAAGGTTGAGGACGATGGCTGGAAACTTCTAAACATTGCTCCAGGTGTTCCGGAACTGGACATTATAAAATCTGGAAATTGAATATCTGTGCAAATTCTGAAAATTACTTCAGTTACTCTCATTTTGGTGTCCTTGGAAGGGGCATGAGGCTAGGTAAATTTAAGGCAAATAAGTTTTGTATTACTGACATTCCCTAAGTGACTAACAAGCTTACATGTAGAACAGTCCATTTTTAAGATAATAAAGGAGACAAGGAATGAAGACAGAGATGCCAGGCTTTCTCCTGCTTTTAGTTCCTCTTTGGGCATCTTCATGTCCAGCTTCTAGATTCCTGTTACAACAAGCCTCGGTTTGTTGGTGTCATTTCAGGAAAGGTTTGAGGGAAATGAGGGAATTATCCCTATAGACATCTAATATATCTTACTCCGTTCTGGCTGCTATAATAAAATATAAATCAGATAGCTTATAAACAGTAAAAATTTATTTCTCATGGTTCTAGAAGCCTTAAAGTCCCAGATCAAGCAACTGGTATCCTCAGTGTCTGGTGAGGGATTGTTTTCTCATTCATAGATGGCACTTCCTGTCTGTGTATACATAGTGGCAAGGACAAAAATATTCCTTGGGCCTAGTTTACATAGGCATTAATTCATCTTCCAAAAGGCCACACGTGCTAATACTATCATCTCGGTGGTTAAGATTTGAACATATGAATTTGGGAAAGACAAAAACATTCAGGTCACAGCTTGGGAATGAGCATTACAGACGGAGGAAAGAGCCAATGCAAAACCCCTACTTACGGGCATTTTTCAGAGGCACTTAGGAAGCAAGTATATCTAAAGTGAAGAGTAAGAAAGAGAGTCATAGGAAAAGGCAATACATAAATAATCTGGAATCAGCTGGGATTTGACATTCTTTCTACATGAAATTCCCCACTGAAACTTCAAGAGCCTTTACTGTCCTTATTTCCATCAACTTTCTGGTCTTCTAAGCTCTGACCAGAATTACCCATCAAGATCAGTTTACAGCATTCTAGGACTTCTCTGGGCCACATATCCAAACTTCCCACACTCCTCCACCAAACCAGTCCAAAAGCTTTTGAGCCACATAGTCAGATATAGTCACAGCAATGACCTCAACTCTCCAGTACCAATTTTCTGTATTAATCACTTTCCCATCTCTGAGACAAAATACCTAACTCCCACAGTTTAAGGGAGGAGAGATTTAATTTTGGCTCATAGTTCAGGTGATTCAGTCCATATATAGTTGACTGGCTCTAAGCCAGAAACATCATGGTGGAAGTGCATGATGGAGGAATAGTGCTCATTGCATGGCAGAAAAGAAGCAGAGAGGGAAGGAGTGAGACAAGAATATACCTTATAGGTTATGTTCCCAATGACCCACCTCCAACAAGGCCCCACCTCATAACAATACATTCAGCCATGAATTCACAGATTTACTAATCCATTAATGAGTAGAGCAGCCCCATGATCACCTTCCAAAAGTCCTGCCTCTGAATATGTGAGACTTTTTTGGATAGAAGAATTTTAGATCTAAACCATAACAGTTGCCCAGAAGACTGGGTGAGGAAATAGACTAGGGAATTATGACATGATTGCTAAGCAAATGTAATGGCCTACATGAGGTTTTTAATCACAAGTTTAAAGTGATTTCATATGCATAGTTTTTAGCTTTTCCTCCAGTTTTATTCAGTCTCTTTAGCATAGTGGATAGAAAACTGAAGTTTTCCAGATGTGTTTTTGTAAAATAATAGAAGTGGAGAAATGTTAAGTAAATGTTGGAGAATAATTGTAATGATGGATTGCGGAATTTCAGTTGCATAAGAACAAGAGACAGGACATTGAAGAGAGAATAAGATACAATGAAAAGTTGGAAAGAAGGATGGACTCAAGATCTTGGCAGAGTTGAAGACTTTTTAAGTTATGCTAGAATTAGTAAGTAATGTTCAGAAAAGAGAATGAATAAAAATTAGACTATGAAGGGACTGCAGTAATAAAATGATATGGTCATAGGGTGAGTGGTTGTGTCAGGAGCAGGACAAGATCAAAAACCCCAAGGAACTTAGAGGTAAGGTTGTTGGAAGGATTAAGTCATTAAAGGTAGGAATAATTTTAGAATAAGCAGCAACTACAAAGGTAAAACATCCTTAAGTTTAATAGACGATAGCAACAGCAAGTTGCTATAGTGAGTAATAGTGAGTAATGTAATTTAATGACAAGAGATTTGGAGCTTGGAAGAAACTCCTTAGGGAGGCAGAAGTAAGAATTATCTGTAAGAAGGAATAAATAGCCAAAAGAATTAACCTAAACCCATGGCCAGTTGTGCCAGGTATATGGCGGGGGGGGGCTAGTACCACTTGAAAAAGCTACAGGGGAGGATTGTCAATAAAGCAAGAAGGTGACTGGAGACATTCAGAGAAGAGATTTAAGATAGTGGGATGATGATGGAGTTTTATGAGTTTAGGAGAACTGGAAAGAGTTAAAAAGAGGAATATGTTGTGTCTTACAAGGTGTAGAAATCTGAACATGATAGGTAACCCAAGTCAGGCCTTCTTGTGATGAAAACATAACCAGGGGAAAATGGGCATTGGATCTAATAGACTTAAAGCAGATAATAGTGATGAGCTTGAGAAGGTTAAAAAGTGAGGCAAAGGATGGATTTTTGGAACAACCTTTAGAGTCTTGTTATTTGAGGCAAGGATGTCTAGGGATGTACCATCTTAGGCCCAGTGCAAGATACTAACTTTTGACTTTGGTTGATGAAGCTGAGGATTTCTGAGGAAGCCTAATGTTTCCTCAAATTCATAGACCCACTTTGGGTAGTAAGAGGACTTGGGGATATGCACTTGTAGGAAGAGGATAGCATCTTATATTTAGTTTCCCCTTTCCCCATCACACTTTACATTTCTCACTAACTAGAAAGAGGAAGAGACAAAGAAGGCCGCCTGCATAAATATCAGCAGACGCAGTACAATGAGACGTAAGTGCAATGCATATCTAACTTGTATCACCTGCTTCTGTATTGAACAAATGAATGTAGTCTTATTTGTTTGTTTTCTTTCAGCTTTTATATTCTACTCACATGAAAGCTTTTGACTGGGGGAATCCGCATCTTAACTTGGTTCATTTTAATCAGGTACATAATTATGTATAAACTAAAAATCATTTCTTTCTAATTGGCTCAGATGACTTTGTTATAGATCCAGGGTTATCTTTAAATCTCCACAGTGTAATAACACTCTAAGAAGGACTGGAAGATGATAACTGTATTGATTTGAATTTATATTATCACATCCAACCAAAGCAGCTTTTCCATGTTTCTATGTATTTTAATATTATCAGGGATAAATCTAGAGAAATTGACAGGAAGTAAAAGAATTCATCATCTTTCAAGAGGAAAAGTATACTGTTTATACTATGCATAGCTCTGTATTTAGCTTAATAGGAAATAAAAAGTAAAATATATATATAGATTTGACCCTAAACCCAGTTATCCTATTTGAGAAATAGAATAAACTCATGTAATAACCAGGAATGACTTAGAAGTTAATGGTAATGTGGTAAGAATGTGATAAGTGTGATGACAAAATGTTTGAAATGTTAAAATCTAAGTCTGTCTGACTTCAAAGTTTATATGTTTTCACCACACTTTTCTGTCTCAGCTAAACTCTAGACCTGATGTTGTCTACTCATTAAAAAATCTGAAGTAAAATTTAAAGATCAAATTCAATGAGATCAGAGTTGACTTTTACTGCTAATATTTATTATTTATTAATGAACATATTGATGGTAATATAGTCACAGAAAATTTGATTAAAATATTTTCATGCTTCTTAAGTAGTCCTGAAATTACTTTTATGAAATGCTTAAATACCCTGAGTTAGAACAAACTATGTACCATGTACCTAGTTGGGTTTTTTTCCTTTTTTTTTTTTCATGGTTTTAGGGATCGAACTCAGGACCTTGCACTTGCCAGGCAGGCATGGTACCACGGAGCTAAATCCCTGGCCCTACATACCTAGTTTTGATTTATGTTTGATTTATTTCCAAGTAAAACTTACAATGCCTATTCTTTCATACTCTTTGCTTTATAGATCTATTATGTTGAATCCACTAGATTCAGCTTATTTTAAAATAGTATTTAAATTCACTATTATAAAAATTATAGATAGAACATTCTAATGTGTTATTTTTTGTGGAACCCCTTTTTACTCATTTATTTTTAGACAACTTCTCCATTGTACAGTATAGCAAATATGAATGTGCCAACTGCAACTTGAAATGGTGAAAATGATTTGTTGGCTGACCCTGAAGATTTTAAAATCTTACAATCTGAAATCACCAACCTCATTTACCATAGGACTATTTCTTACTACAATCATATAGACTTTTTGTATGAATTGGACGTCTACCATCAAGTTTTCCATGAAATCACTGATATCACTCAAGACAATCTATAAAGAACTATACTTTTTGTTTATAGACCTGTCCTATTCTTATTAAAAATCCAATTATTTTTATTACTATGTAAGTTTTCTTACATATTTAAAGTACTAAATAAAGTAATTTTCTCTTTATTTTCTCCTTTCCTTACGTCTCTTGTTCATTAAATTTATAGTAATTATTATTTCAGGAGAAATGATAGATTATTAATCAATCCAACATTTATTGAGTTTCTTAAAAGAAATTAAATAACTAATACCAGAAACAATAATCTTAACCATTTCTAATTGCAAGAAATAGCTTTTTAAGAAAGTTTTTATTTTCTTCAAAAGAATATGAATTTACATTTTTTGTAAAAAATTAAAAAATAGGAGATAATATGTTAACTTGTTTACCTAATCATTTCACTCTGTATATGTGGTGGGAAACATCATGTTGTACATCTTAAATATATACAACACAAAATAATTGTTTTGAAAAAAGTGTGCATTCTAGTGATGCTGGTTGGAGTTTTCTTCACATGTCAATAAGATCATGTGGGTCAATGGTACTGTCAATTCCATATGCTTACTTTCTATGTGATCTTTCTTTATTAAAAAAGGAGTATTAAATTTCCAAGTATAATTATGGAATTGCATTTTTTTAATCTTACAGTTCTTTCAGTTTATTTCTTCAAAAATTCTTATGCTGGGCCGGAAATTTAGCTCAGTGGTTCTGCAGCCTGCCTCGCAAGAGAAAGGTCCCAAGTTCAATCCCCAGTACCAAAAGGAAAAAAAAAAATTCTTATGCCCTCTTACACGCATAAACAGAATTTTTGTCTTTTTGATGAACTTGATTCAATTGTCATTACACGATCTGCTTTATCTTCACTAATATTCTTTATTCTAAAATCTACTTTGTCTAATATTTTATTGGTACATTGTATTTTAGGTATACATTCATCATTGGAATTTTGTACCTGTACATAATCTCTCTTGCTTCTTATTTTTTCCCCATTCCCCTGCCCTCCCTTCAACCCCTCCATCCCTCCCTCTTTACAAAGACTTAGTTTCCTTTTTTTCATTTTCTCATATTAATTCCATTCCCTTCTTTCCTTTCCCCTACCCATCCCACTTCCCCTCCTCCTTTCCCCCTTTTCTTCCTATTTCACATTATCTATTATACCTTTTAGTTGTTTACACTTTCAGTTTCTCACTAAAGAAACTATTTGGTATTTACACACGTGTGTCCTATTTATTTCACTTAAAAGTATCACCTCAATGTGCATCCATTTAGCTATAAATATCTCTAATTTCTCATTTTTTATGGCTGAGTAGTACTCCATTTAATAAAAAAAAAACACATTTTCTTTATCCATTCTCCAGTTGATGGGCATTTGGGCTTTGTCTAATATTAATATAGCCACTCTTTTTATTACTGCAACCTTGGTATAAGTATTTTAAAATCATAGTTGTTTAACTTATTCACTTTTTAACATGTAAATGGAGTTTCTACTAGGAAATAGAGTTGTGTCTTTTCTTTTAATTCAACCCATTCCTGTTGTTTAACCATTGCAGTGCAGTTAGAAAAAATGGAGCTGAAGAAGTCACTCCTTTCCACCCATGTAATTTTAAACAGCATCCTAGAGCTATTCCTTCTTCCATTGTCCTAAGGTAGAGGATCACATAGCAAATACCAAGTGAATCTCTGATGCTGTAAGCAAGAGTACATTCTTGTTGGTTCTCAGGCCTGACTTTCAGTTACTTTCGCCCTATTGTAACCTTATTAATCATTCATGAATAAGCACTACATCTCCTGCATGTAATTAAGATCAGAGAAAATTCTATGACAGAAGTAGTAGGGAACAGGGAAAGGGGATGTTACCAGAACCCCTGCAGTGGGTCCTGGTATCCTGTGAGCCATGACAGCACAAGGTGAATTAAAGAATAAAGACAGGAATGGAGACTTAGAGAAGAAGCTGGGCTCTGGGCTGGGTTCTGGGCTGGGTTCTGATCAATGGTTCTCTCAGCAGCAGAGACAAAGGCACTCCGAGCTTGCCACTATTTATTGGGTTCATACAGAGTAACAAGTGACTCAGGGGAGCAATAATCCAAAATTGACAAGACTCTTATATTTGGAGGAAGTATCAGATATCTCAGAGGATGCCGGTAATTCTATGAACATGGGGATCTAATGATGATAAGGATCTTAGGTCGATGAGAAATTATACATTTACTTCTACAATAAATCACACAAAGCACTTCATGACCAAATTGCTTACAATTCATATTTTTTTAAAAAAATTAAAAGCAGCCAGAAAAAGAAGATGTTCCGTATATGACAAAAAATGATTATAGTGATTGCAGACTTCTTGGAAAAAATGCAAGGCCAAAACAAAAACAATAACAAGAAAGAAAGAAAGAAAGAAAGAAAGAAAGAAAGAAAGAAAGAAAGAAAGAAAGAAAGAAAGAAAGAAAGAATATCAGTCCGTGCTTACTAGAGATACAGATTTACTGCAAGATATATAAATATATAAGAGTTTACAAGTTTGGCTTACAATGGTTGCCCACAGCATCAGATTTAGAAGAGTGAAAAAGGTCTATCTTCAAAGTGGATATCCTAAGGATCCAGTCAAAGGCCCTGGAGCTCAGTGTGTTATGGACGAGTGAGTTCAAACAATAGAGATGCACCACACTCTGTGCCAGATTCGAGCCCATTTATTATAGCTGGCAGCCGAGGGGGGCTAACACCCAGAAAATTTCCTCAGCAATGTGAAGCAGTTTGATTTCTCCCTTTAAATCATGCTTTCAGTTGGGGAGGGCTCAGGGGAAAGCAAGTGGAATCTTACAGAAGCAGAATCATGCCAGGTTAGTGGGGGACACAAGGAAGTTTCACACACACTAGGTGAGCTACAAAACATCCTGCAACTGCAGCAAGTTTACTGTCAAGCAGGATGTGGGGGTTTTGGGTGCTTTGTTCATGTGCAAGCACTTTGTTCAAGCACAGGTACAAAATGGCATTGAGGCACAAGGCAGAGTCAGGTTGGCTACCACAAGTGTGGTCTCCTGTGCCAGTCTGTATTGGGAGGCTGAAAAGTCCGTGATAGAAGATTAAAGAGTCTGCACTGGAAGCCAGAAGAGAATGCCCGAGGTAGAGAAGAAGACTGGAGATCTTCTGAAAAAAACAGAAGCAAGCCCTTCTTCTTCATTTCCCTTTTATTCCAGTCAAGTGACAAGCTTATTGGTTGGGGCCACTCACACCTAAGGCAGGTCTTCTGTTTTTAGTAAATCCTTTCAGCCACATCGAGAACTATTCTGACCCAATTTAGTTAGGCCTATCTTACTCAAGTTGACATAATAAGTTAACTATCATAGGAAGCATCTTTAAATCTTAGGGATAAACACCTCCAAAAACCTAAAATTATACCCCAGTGAAAATATCTCATAGAGATAGCTGAAGGACAGCAAGAGAGACTAAGTGAGGTGAAAGGAGTCATGTGACCTGTCAAAGGCAGTGAGCACGCAAACCTGCCTGGGCCAAGTGGTTTGACCCACTGCTTGTCTTCTGCTGACCACACCTTCAGTAACAGGGGTAGCAAATTTTGATGAGCAGTGAGGTGAGCTGTGTTTACAGGCATCACAAATATTCCCTGTGTGTACATTTAAGGACCCTAGTTAGCAAGACAGACTCCATGTTGCTGCTTGACCCACCTGCTTGCCCTTTAGATGAACTCAGAAGGAGGAAGCTTAAAAACCTCCTCCCCTTAGAAAGTCTCTTTAGAAATAACAATTAATCAACTATTGTTTTACAAATGTCCTAACAGCACGACATTCCGCTTCTGTACCTTTCACTTGCTTTGCTAGTTCTATCCCATAGGGGGGCCGAGAAACTGTTGGCCTCAACGGTGTATAAAACATGTTTGTCTCCCCCCAGTCGGGGCTTGAGTCCGATAATAAACTCCTGTGTGGATTTAATATTGGTCTCTGGTTGGTTCTTTCTTGCTGGGTCTAACATACAGAGTTTCTCTTCTACTTCCATTCTTGTTTAATTAAATTAATGCTAAAATTTGGAAGGTGTCAATTTTTCAAGTTTCCAAAAAGAGAGAAAAAAATAGGGATTCTTCTTTTGATAGCATCAGAAAGCTTTAATTAGCTAGATGCCAACAGGCTGTACTGGGAGACTCCTGTAGTTTTAGACACATGCATTTTTAAAGAAAAAATCATAAGTACTTATTTCCCCATGAATTATTCTAAATTCTAGAATAAATATTATTTTTGTTGAATAATATGAAAAGTTGCAGCTTTATGTAATTTTCAAGTTGATAGGTATGATTTTCTCCTTCAGCTTTGTTTCATGTTTCCATTTCCAAGAGACTTGTCTAGGTTTTTTCAATGGCATGCTGGAGATAGCTTGGCTCATACTGACTTAGTAGAGTCCACATCTTTCTTAAATCCACATTCAATAACACCACATCAATAACGTAAAATTGAGAATATCCCACCAAATTGTCAAACATCACAGGCCATGGTGGTTTTTTGTCTTTTGGCTTTATTTTTGTATAAAGAAACTACTTACCAAAACAGTGTTGCATGTGGTGATGAAAGTAAAGCTTATTTCTTCCTTGAACTTTACTGTCAGTTAAAAGTATTCCATATCCTCTTGCACACTGGTTTGGAATAAACAATATACTGAATATAATACAATATAAGCATTCATATTTGATATTAGAAAGACTCTATTAATTCTGAACTTAAGAACATAAGATAATTTTAGTAAAGTGAAACAGGAAATAGATGAACTTATGTGGTGCCCACATATCAATTAATTTCCTCAGTACTACTGAAGGTATAATATATAATGACTCATCTATCTAAAATTCACTGAGTCATTCCCACATGTTATTAAGTATATCTTAAAGATATTAAGTGGAAAATATTATGTACAATACAATAGCAATAACTACATCAACTAAAAAAATTTATTATGCAAATCTTTCATTTTAGGGCAATGGAAAATTTAAGTGTATTGAAATAGTGCTACATGTCAGGGATTTAGCTCAGTGGTGCCGCTTCTGACTTGCAAGCACAAGGTCCTGAGTTCGATCCCCCGTATCA